CACCACATCAGGGGTGTGACATAACATATCAAAACGGAGTAATAACATGGGGAACCCTAATTACTATGTAATTGACCATGAGACCAAATCACTCTTACTTGATATCCTTATACATGATTCATATCTCATCTTGCTTAATCATAATTCGTTACTTACACATGTACTTGACCCGGCCACAATTGGCTCAACATAGGTAAATCATGAGTCTTATAATTGCACTTCCTCGGGATAAACCCTCGTGCAAGTCATCCTCCTTAAACATCATAATATCACCAGGGAATATATATTTTCCCACATGTTCATCCAAATACAACAATCATGAAAAATCATACTTAATTACCTTCTCAAACCATCATAAGGCATATTAACAGTCAAGCCCACAATTTGCAACATATACGCAATCATCAGCATAAATAAGGTACATAAGGATTAGGGCAAGACAATAATATCATACAACAGTCCAGTGTTCAGCATATAGCACAAAAGTTCATACACCCCTAATCATGCCATTCTAGTTCACCTAGGTCAATTCTAAGCATAAATATAATTATCGTGATACGACAAACCCAGTATGCCGTGCTAATCCCTCACCAGTTCTGGTCGTTCAAACACCGGTTTAACCTTCCCGTACTAAAACATCAATTTCAAGAACGAACCCCGAATTAAAATCCGAGACCGTCCTAATATCCCCTGCAGTATCCCCGTCAATATTAGTTCTATGCTCTAGGTCATATTCTTGATAAAAACACATCAAACCCTGGTCGGAGCTAAATTCAGCGATTTGGACCCCGACCTAAATAATTGCCGAAATTCAGGGATTAGAACTAGAAGATTGATTACCTCGCTGCAGGAAGCTCGTATATGAAATTTGGGCTCAATCCGGCTTCCGGATACTCCTAAACCCTAATTTGGCTTATCGGGAATTCAAGAAATTTCTGAACCAAAATCTTGTTTTATAACTCTAAATCGATAATCACGATGTATTGATGAATTAGGCATTACTTACGGAATTTTTGGATCACTAGGGCTCACGATTGGAGCTTTGGAATTTTTGGCCGAGCGCTCCGTGTGTGCTCTGTTCTCTGGTTTTCTCTCGTCCAAATAATTGAAACAGAAGAAGATGATGAGCAAGGAATGTACTGGGGATTTATATAAGTGGCCGCTTGATATTATATATATATATATGGTGGCGTATTCAGTGCACCCACTTTTTTGGATGCACTCAGTGCACCCGCCTCATAATTGTCATTCTGAGCATGTGATTCATGTCAAAACGGTATCAATTGTTGCTTATGATATTATGAACAAGAAGAACACGAATTTGAAAAAAATTCATTCAAAATTTACATTAATTTGAAGGATTTTGGATTTGGGATTTAGGGTTAGGGATTAGGTTTAAAATTTGGAATTTTGGATTGAGATTCAAAATTGAAGGTTAAGGGGTTAGGGTAATAGATTGATTTGTTATGATTCTATGTCATATCATCATATTAGATTGAGAGTACTAATTAAAGTTCAAAATTTGATGTAATATGGACACTTTTAGAGTGGGTGCACTCAAAAAAGTGAGTGCGCCGAAGTAGCCACCTATATATATATATAATATATATATTAATACGTATATTTATCTGATCGATCGATAATCCGATTTTCGTCGAAATAGTGTCGAAATGCTCGATTTTAAATCGCGAACTTTCTAGCGATCGAAATATGGGTTTTGTCGGAACGGGATGTTACAATTATCATAAATGGTTACAAAACTATTCACTTGGTACAAACGGTCACAAATCTTTAATTTTGCACTTTTCAATAACAAATACTAATAACAAAAATTTACTTTCACCCAAATTACTGTTACTTTCATCCAGTCAGCACACCACGTCATTTATGATATTAATAAAATTTTTTGACCAAACCCAAATGAATTGATAACCTAACCGAAAACCCTAATTCTATATCCAGAATCATCGCGGCCCAAAGAAAGCCCCTGCCGCTGATGGCGTCCCGTGTCGTGTCGGAAAATTCGAAAACTCCTCTTCGTGTCCAACTTAATTTTCTGCTAGAAATAGCATTCTAACATTTTGGGTTGTTTGTGGTTGTTTTGTAATAAGATAGGAAAGGGAGGACTGTTCTGTAAGTAGTGGTTGATAGCTGTCAATCTAGGAGTGGGTACTTAAGTGTGTGTTGTAAAGGTTGTTGAGGATATGAGTAATAAGAAAACAACTTTTCCCTCCTCACTTCTCTCTCTCTCTCTCTCTCTCTCTCTCTCTCTCTCTGCAATTCCTCTCCTTCTTTCCCTAAATCTTGCCGAGCTGATCCAGAGTATTACAACGTGGTATCCAGAGCCTTCCGATCCACAGCACCATGGCGATTACTAATTCTCATTTGGTTCAGATTGATGAGCGTCTGATGGATTTTGATCTAGCGTTCGATCTCCACGGATGGCTGTCTGACAATCATCGATTATCAAATTTCGGAAATTGGAGCTCGCACCGAGGTTCTTTGCACACAGGGTGAAGCGTATTTTCTTCGTTCCAATCTCTCACGACGCCGCGCGCGCAACTGCTGGCTATGATCGTTACTTAAAATCACAATCTGGAGACTAGCTTGGATGGTTTCGAGACTCAATTCGGCGCTCAATTCGGCATGATGAATGGTCAGATCACTCAATTGACCGGTTAAATGGCGGCCATGATGAATCTGTTGCAGAATTTGCCGTAGCCTGGGAGCTCCTTCGGCGCCGCTTGCTTGCAACGCGAATCCTGGTATTCTGCCTTTACTTAGGGTTGGGATGATGGAGGACATTAATCCTCCTGCTCGGGGCCGCGTTCAGGAGATTCGTGCTGTGGAACGTGAGGATTTTCCTCCCCTCCGAGGTAACCACTATACGATTCCTCATTTGGAGTTTCCATTTTTTCATTGCGATAACCCTAGGTATTGGATTCGTCGTTGCGAGAAGCTCTTTAGGGTATATAATGTACCAGAAGGTGAGAAAGTGGAGATTGCTTCTGTTTATTTTTTTTGGATTGGAAGGCGGAAGTGTGGTTTAAGGGCTGGACTTCGAACCGTTGTGACTGGTTGTGGGGGGAGTTTGTAGCTGGTTTGCTTCATCGCTTTGAAGACGTGTCCACGGGGGGTATTGTGGGTGAGTTTAATAAGCTCAAGCAGCGTGGTTCCCTTCTTGTGGACCAGGAGCGGTTTGATGACCTTCGGTCCCAAATGATACCGTATAATCCTGACTTTACTGAGGATTATTTCATTTCCATTTTTATTAGTGGTTTGGAAGATGAATTGCGGCCAGTGGTTACAAAGTTGCAGCTGCAGTCCCTTTCTCAGGCTTATCACATGGCAAAGCTTGAGGAAGCTTTCAATGAGGCTCAGAGGAGGAAGTGGTGCACTCTGTCCCAGCCATTTACTCCTTCCTCACGTAGCAGTAAGCCTGCTTTGGTTTCTGCGGTTCGTCCTACTAAAGATTTCCATCTGGTTCAACCACTAAGGGGACCATGGGAACTAAGGGGGCTTATTACAAGTGCGGCAAGAGATAATTCTGTGGTCATGTGTGTGAAGTGGCTGAGAAGCAGCTCAATGCACTGTAGGCTGCGGATGAGGAGATGGTAATGCCTGAATCGGGAAGTGTTGAGGAAGATGATGTAGTGGCTAGCGGGGAGGAGCCAGAGGAAGTCACTATGCAGGCTTTGAGTAGTGGTAAGTTGACCAATTCGTTAGTTGTACAAGGGCAGGTTAGGAAGTGCAAATTGTTGATATTGATTGACACAGGCAACACACATACATTCCTTAATCATCCTAAGGTAGAGGAGTGGAAGTGTTATGTAGATGTTGCTCCTCCCTTGCGTGTTAAGTTGGCTGATGGCACTGTCTTGTTGAGCAATTAAAGTTTACAAGGCATTTACATGGGAAATGCAGGACCTTTCTTTTTCTTTTGATGCTCGCATACTGAATCTGGGCACTCATGACATGGTCTTGGGTATGGAATGGTTGCGAACTATTAGTCCAGTCAAATTTGATTTCTTCCAATTGCAGCTGTTCTTTCAACAAAATGGGTAGGAGGCGATTTTGACTGGAGAGCAGGAAGTGGGTTCCTGTAAGCTCATTTCCGGCAAGCACATGTCCAAGTAGTGGAAGAAAAATAGGAAGGAATGGACAACATACTTGTGCAGCATGGAAGAGGTCAAGGCACCAGGTGAGATTCCTTCGTTTCTCCTTCCCCTGGTCAAAGAGTACTAAGATGTGTTTGGTAAACCCACATCCTTACCTCCCTCTATAACCTGTGACCATTCCATACCCTTGTAACCAAATTCCCATCATGTCAACCTTCATCCCTATTGTTATCCCAGTATCCCTTGCCCCCAGAAAGACATTGTGGAAAAAATGATCCAGGAAATGTTCGTAGCTCACCTTATACCACCTAGTAAAAAGTCCCTTTGCCTCTCCTGTTTTGCTATTAGCCAAGAAAGATGGAACCTCTCATTTCTGTGTGGATTATTGGCAGCTCAATTCCATAACCATTAAAGACAAGTTCCCTATCCTTGTCATTAAAGATTTGTTAAATGAATTAAGAGGTACCAAGTACTTTACCAAATTAGACCTCTTGTCTGGATATCATCAAATCAGAATGAATCCTACTGACCAACATAAAACAACCACTACAAGAAACTGCACCTTTTGCGACGAAAAAATTCGTCGCAGAAAGCTTATAATTCGTCGCAAAAAGGTATCCACGACGAGTTTCTTCGTCGCAGAAGAGATCAAACTTTCGTCGCCTATACAGCGTCGCAAAAAGTTCAGCGACGAAATATCAACGGTTCGTAGCGGAAAATTGCTTTCGTCGCTGAAAAGTAGATGATTTGGCGACGGACATGTCTTCGCCAAAAATGATCATTTGGCGATGATGAATCTCGTCGCGGTAAAAAGTTACTTTGCGACGGCGAATTCGTCGATAATAGATGACATGCTTTTGCAGAGTTGCTTACAATTTATTTTTCTGTAGTTTTATCATAATTATTTATGGTCTCAATTAAATATAAGTTTATATTTACTTTCTCGTTCATTTTTTGAGTTATTTCAATTTTGTGTTCTTGTCAAAATCAATTCATCACCTCATTAAATATAAATCAAGTTCGCCTGAGATTAGCCCAACTATCAGTTCCAACTTTAAATCGAGTCCAAACACAGATTTACACACCCTAATCCTAACCAAGAGTTTCAGAGAATATCATCAAAGCCTCCTTCATTCCAAATCTGCAGAAAGATTCAAGTCAGAATCTGTAAAAACTAAAAACAAAATAACCAAAGAAAAATCACGTTATACCTCTTAGCGGTGGCTGCTGGTTCTTCGCCGGCAGAGCGGGTGGTCGTTCACGGCCACCGACGATCTCACTGTCATCTCCGAATTTCCTTTTCAGATCCCCTCATCGGAGTTAAAAATTAACCAAGAAAATAAAAGAAAGTCAGAACCCCCTTGGAAAAAAAAACGAAATAGAAAGAAAACAGATCTGTATGCGACGATCTCACCCATAAAAGACGGTATAGATCTGTCGTTTCTCTGAGAGAGATCGACTAAGGATGGGTCTCGAAGGATCGTGTTTTCGGATCCAAAGGCGAATCGGGAAAAGCGATATCCAATCATGGCTTCTACAATTGGGGGTTGGCGACGGAGGGAGCGGCATATCAATAAAGCTTTGCTTTACCGATTGCCGAACCACCGCCCCGCCTACATCTCTCGGCCGTCTTTGCTCAAGTGCGCAGCTAAGCAGATCGGGAAACCAGGTCTTGACCCCATCTTTTGTTAAAACCAGAGGAGAGTAAGGAAGGAAAGAGATAGGGTAATTGTGGAAGGAGAGGCGAGAAGGAGCGGCTGCCGTTTAGGGTTTGTGTTAGCCCAAAATGTAAATATATAGCCTTCCAAAGAAGATAATTTGCCCTTAAAAGTTCAAAAAAATTACTACACCTGCCACCGCGTTTTGGTTAAAGGACGAAATTACCCTGCTTTTGTCTATAGAATACAAAAAGAAAAACGAACACTAAATGGTAGATCGAAACCATGACCTCATATTCAACGAACAATAAAAATTCTTGAAAAGTTATATGACGACTGAAAAACATAACAAAGTGTAACATCCCGTTCCGACAAATCCCATATTTCGATCGCTAGAAAGTTCGCGATTTAAATTCGAGCGTTTTGATACTATTTCGACGAAAATCGGATTATCGATCGATCGGATAAGTATACGTATTAATTATATATATATATATTAATTAATTAAGCGGCCGGGCATATATATTAACTTCCCCCGTCCATTATCATCTTCATCCCTTTTTCCATTCTCGGACCGAGAAACAGAGGCGCACAGGGCACGCGAGGAATTAAATTGCAAAGCTCAATTCTTGAGTTCTAGTGATCCAAAAAATCCCGTAAGTAATGCCTAATTCATCTATACATCGTGATTTATCGATTTAGAGCTTTAAAACGAGTTTTTGGTTCAGGAATTTCTTGAATTCCCGATAAGACAAATTAGGGCTTCGGAGTATCCGGAAGCCGGATTGAGCCCAAATTTCATATACGAGCTTCCTGCAGCGAGGTAATCAATCCTCTAGTTCTAATCCCTGAATTTTGGCAATTATTTAGGTCGGGGTCCAAATCGCTGAATTTAGCTTCGGCCAGGGTTTGATGTGTTTTTATCAAGAATTTGACCTGGAGCCTAGAACTAATATTGACGGGGATACTGCAGGGGATATTAGGACGGTCTCGTATTTTAATTCGGGGTTCGTTCGTGAAATTGACGTTTTAGTACGGTAAGGTTAAACCGGTGTTTGAACGACCAGAACTGGTGAGGGATTAGCACGGCATACCGGGTTTGTCGTATCACGATAATTATATTGATGCTTAGAATTGACCTAGGTGAACTAGAATGGCATGATTAGGGGTGTATGAACTTTTGTGCTATATGTTGAACCCTGGATTGTTGTATGATATTATTGACTTGCCCTAATCGATATGAACCTTGTTTATGCTGATGATTATGTATATGTTGCAAATTGTGGGCTTGACTGTTAATATGCTTTACGATGGTTCGAGAAGGTGATTAGGTATGATTTTTCATGATTGTTGTATTTGGATGCACAAGTGGGAAAATATATATTTCCTGGTGATATTATGATATTTAAGGAGGATGACTTGCACGAGGGTTTATCTCGAGGAAGTGCAATTATACGACTCCTGATTTACCTATGTTGAGCCAATTGTGGCCGGGTCAAGTACATGTGTAAGTAACGAATTATGATTAAGCAAGATGAGATATGAATCATGTATAAGGATACCAAATATGAGTGTTGTGGTCTCACGGTCAACTACATAGTAATTAGGGTTCCCTATGCTTTTACTCTATTATGATATGTATGATAGTCACACCTCTCATGTGGTGGTGACTGAAGATTCTTACGAGATATGACCACACCCAGAGCGGTGTCGGGGTATGATTACACCCATAGTGGTGTGGGGTATGTATGACCACATCCGACGGGATGTTGGGGTATGTATGACTACATCCGACGGGATGTGGGGTATGTTTCCCGGGAGAGTTAATAGCATGGGAGTAGCCAGGCGCCTATAAGTAAAACATGATAAGATGCATATGCATAAGTCAAGGATGGTTGAGTCTTTTGCCTATTGGGATGTCGGATGGCTGAGGTCTGATCCTAGTGCTTTGGCTTATTTGCTAGATGTATGGTAGGGGTATGCTCTGTTATGAACTCACGATGCTATGATTATCTCACTCAGCTATGAGCTGACCCTCTTTATCCTTTTTCTCTGCTTATGCCATGTGTAAGCAGATCATCGTCATCAGCAGCAGTAGATAGTTGTATAGGTGGGAGCTGAAGCAAGAGTTAAGGGCAAGATGAGGTATGGTCTTCAACTATTCTGTGCTTGGACTACTACTCGGGATTTTGGCCAGTGATCCACACCTTTTTGTAAAAATGTTTTGAGAACGTTTTTCATGTGCATACTAGCTTCTGATGTAGTGTGAGATATCCACAGGTGTGGAAAGTTGATGATGATGTGTATATTTGTGTAATTATGTAAGTTGTGACGATTATGGCATGTATCAGTATAGGATGCAGTTGTGTAACATGAAACGGTGACTATGGCTATGAAAAGCCAATGCATATGGCAGTGAGTGTATATGTTTATCTATGAATGCATGGATTTAGATGAATTATTTTGCAGGATTAGATGGAAGAACTGTTAGCCCATTACGCGAGTAATTCATGTCGAAATTTTATTTAGGGTAAATTTTGATAATTAAGTGTAACACCCGAGATTAATTCCGCTGCAATTGTATGAACAATATGATTAGGCAAAAAGTATAGGGTATGGTGTTACAGTTTGGTATCAGAGCTGGTTTGTTTTCTGCATTATGGGTGTGTTACTTTCACCCTTTAGGACTGATCACCTTCAAAAGGGGAGGGAGTACTCCATACCTGTACTTGCACTAAACTTTCCAAGATTTGGACCAAAGGTGATGATGTGTTGCATAGTCAGTTGCACATGGTCAAACATGATTTTGAGTATTTGAAGGAATCTTGAAAATTTTATGGTTTAAGAGATTTTTGAAAATATGTGGAGTTTTTATCTTGTTGTCCAAGTAATGATTTTGGCAGAAATTTTTAATGGTGTGTGGATCAAGTTATTGCCAAAATTTCCTTGTAGCTCGCACAGAAGTTTTCCTAGAAATCTTACTAACCAATCGAGAAGCATAGTGGCTAGCTATGCAATGCAGTTGAGTTAAGGCTATGCTAACATGATGAGTTGTGATGGTAGATATTTGAACAAAGATATGAATCTTGATGTTGTTCTAGTAACCATTTTGTAGGTTGATATAACTTTGTGTTAGTGGCAACCTACCTTGCAGGTTAATAACTTGGTTTAGTGAGTTATGTTTCGAACTTGTTGATATGTTTTGTTGTGATAGCCCAGTATAGGTTTTTGAAACCTAAACATGGGAACTTGAGGTGTTATGTGTTTAGTTATGTAATTCAAATCTCCTAACCTAAGAGTTAGGTAATAACCTTAGGTACGATCGATCATGTCAAGGGTAAGTAAGCGGACTAAGGGTACAACTCAAGGTTAGATTTCGGGGATGAAATCTTTTAAGGAGGGGAAATTGTAACATCCCGTTCCGACAAATCCCATATTTCGATCGCTAGAAAGTTCGCGATTTAAATTCGAGCGTTTTGATACTATTTCGACGAAAATCGGATTATCGATCGATCGGATAAGTATACGTATTAATTATATATATATATATATTAATTAATTAAGCGGCCGGGCATATATATTAACTTCCCCCGTCCATTATCATCTTCATCCCTTTTTCCATTCTCGGACCGAGAAACAGAGGCGCACAGGGCACGCGAGGAATTAAATTGCAAAGCTCAATTCTTGAGTTCTAGTGATCCAAAAAATCTCGTAAGTAATGCCTAATTCATCTATACATCGTGATTTATCGATTTAGAGCTTTAAAACGAGTTTTTGGTTCAGGAATTTCTTGAATTCCCGATAAGACAAATTAGGGCTTCGGAGTATCCGGAAGCCGGATTGAGCCCAAATTTCATATACGAGCTTCCTGCAGCGAGGTAATCAATCCTCTAGTTCTAATCCCTGAATTTTGGCAATTATTTAGGTCGGGGTCCAAATCGCTGAATTTAGCTTCGGCCAGGGTTTGATGTGTTTTTATCAAGAATTTGACCTGGAGCCTAGAACTAATATTGACGGGGATACTGCAGGGGATATTAGGACGGTCTCGTATTTTAATTCGGGGTTCGTTCGTGAAATTGACGTTTTAGTACGGGAAGGTTAAACCGGTGTTTGAACGACCAGAACTGGTGAGGGATTAGCACGGCATACCGGGTTTGTCGTATCACGATAATTATATTGATGCTTAGAATTGACCTAGGTGAACTAGAATGGCATGATTAGGGGTGTATGAACTTTTGTGCTATATGTTGAACCCTGGATTGTTGTATGATATTATTGACTTGCCCTAATCGATATGGAACCTTGCTTATGCTGATGATTATGTATATGTTGCAAATTGTAGGGCTTGACTGTTAATATGCCTTATGATGGTTCGAGAAGGTGATTAGGGTATGATTTTTCATGATTGTTGTATTTGGATGCACAATGTGGGAAAATATATATTCTCTGGTGATATTATGATATTTAAGGAGGATGACTTGCACGAGGGTTTATCCCGAGGAAGTGCAATTATACGACTCCTGATTTACCTATGTTGAGCCAATTAGTGGCCAGGGTCAAGTACATGTGCAAGTAACTGAATTATGATTAAGCAAGATGAGATATGAATCATGTATAAGGATACCAAATATGAGTGTTGTGGTCTCACGGTCAACTACATAGTAATTAGGGTTCCCTATGCTATTACTCTATTATGATATGTATGATAGTCACACCTCTCATGTGGTGGTGACTGAAGATTCTTACGAGATATGACCACACCCAGAGCGGTGTCGGGGTATGACTAAACCCATAGTGGTGTGGGGTATGTATGACCACATCCGACGGGATGTTGGGGTATGTATGACTATATCCGACGGGATGTGGGGTATGTTTCCCGGGAGAGTTAATAGCATGGGAGTAGCCAGGCGCCTATAAGTAAAACATGATAAGATGCATATGCATAAGTCAAGATGGTTGAGTCTTTTGCCTATTGGGATGTCGGATGGCTGAGGTCTGATCCTAGTGCTTGGGCTTATTTGCTAGATGTATGGTAGGGGTATGCTCTGTTATGAACTCACGATGGCTATGATTATCTCACTCAGCTATGAGCTGACCCTCTTTATTCCTTTTTCTCTGCTTATGCTCATGTGTAAGCAGATCATCAGTCATCAGCAGCAGTAGA